CAATTAATTTCAAGGTTAACCAAAAATAACGGTTAAAAATTATTCGTTAGTTTTCTTGTATATATTGTTAAATAAAAGATATTTAGTTAACAATAATTTAGTAAATTGATACTCATTAAAGTAGTTACATTTTTTTGGTAGTAATTGCCTTGACAATTACGATATTGGGTAACACTGCTATTACAGAAAAGATGTTTTAAATTTTTTAATGATATAATTGTTCTTGAAGAAACTACGAAACAAAAAGCTTTTTTATAATTATTCAAGTATTCGGTATTGTTAAATATATGTTTTAAATGTACGAGTATTTTTGTGATGTCAAAATAAATTTACTATACTTCATTGCATTTGTCATATTGCATTTGTCTATCCATTTGTTTTTTGATGTAATTCTATATGTACACAGAATTAATAATTTAAAAAAAATATAGTTCACAATATTATTAATTATATTCGTTTTGTTAGATGATATCTGATTTATTCATGTTTATAGAAAGAAAAAAAATATTGAACAAGAAAGAAAATAATCTTTTTTTACTAAAAAATATTATTTATGTATGTCACGAGGCAATAAATACTCCAACGAAACAAGATAATAAATGTAACGAAGTTTGAAAAATAGGTCCTTTTTAGAAAATTATAGCATTGAGAATAGATTGCATATACATCGAGGTTCATACATTTTATCTTGACCTTTTAAATCCAAGTTTACTATAAATTACTTTTAATTTCTTTATCTGTTTACGATAAATTTTACATTTATAAATATTTACACTAAAATCTTGACATTGGAATGTAAACATATTCTAATTGATTTGGAACTATTTCTCAATTGACGCTGTCTTAGTTTAAGTACAAAAAATACTGCATTGGTTTTAGTGAAATATGAAGCAAAAGTAATCCTAATTAGAGCATAGTTGAACTTTCAACTTTGACACAGTTGTACCGAATGTTTCCGCCTTTGCGTATCAATGATACATATTTATTCTGTTTTATTCAATTATAATTTTAACTGAAAATTATAACAATACCAATTAGATATTCGTTATCATATTTCATAAGAGGAAATTGTATTGAGGCGGAATAGTAAAGAACCGATAAAAATAGATAAAGCAACGTAATATGTAGGAAGTAATTATGTTTAATATATTTAATTGTGATAATTATTATATAATATTTATTTCGGGTTTTATTTATAAGTTTTGTTTCTTTATATCTAATATAAAATTTCCATATAACAATGTTAGTTACATTACACTTCCGCAACGACTTGACCGATTTTTAGCAAATTTTATATACGTATTTAGTAGGTTTGAGAATCGGCTACTATCTATTTTTCATATCCCTAAGTGATAAGGGTTGTCCACACTTAATTTAATTTTAAATTTTTGGGTGTTTTTTTTTTTTGTTTATAATACTTTTATTCCAAATTTCTTATATGCCTAACAACGTTTGCCAGGTCAGCTAGTATATGTATATAATTCTAGATGTTCGCATCACCAATTTACTGCATATATATTTGTTATATTTTTTAAACATAAATCTTACTTAAATACTTCATCAATAAATCATTTAATACACCGAGGATGTAAACTTATTAACAGTAAGATTTATAAACAAAAAATCATTATTAAAAAGCAACCGGTAAATAAATTGAAATGTGATGATTAATTTTGTATCCAAAATGGATTTTAAACATCGTATTTCCTGGACATATTAGAAAAAATATTTCATTACGAACATACTTGTAGTATTTTTAATTTATTATTATTTGCAGACAGCCTAAACATTTGAGCTTTCTGCATTTAAGTTACTGCAACATGTTTAAACGCTGATTTTGCAAATGTTGTAAAATATTTGACTATTATATTTGCGATTTGTTAGCACCAAGAGTTGGCGATCACGTTATTTTAATAATTTTTCTTATATATTACATAAATATATTATATATTGTTATATGATTGGATTATAATTAATAACGAACAGACGTTTTTTCACTTACAAATAAAAAATATTCCGGGTTCAATATTCTATAATAAGTGAGAGGTAAAGAATTATTATGGTTCGATTTGATGATTTATTATATAGTAAACATTTCAATTTATTATTATTTTAACATTTACTTATAAATAAATTTCTTTGTTAATAAAATGTGATAAGGGAACCACCAAGTTATTGACATGTAATATACTCGTATATAATAATGTTCGACAAATTGGATTATTATTTATTATATCAACTGTTTTAACTACTTAAAATACTTTGAAATTAGATTATTAAAGAAATCTCGTCCTTCATTTTTACTATCAACGTGGGAAATATAAGAATATATAAATATACATATTTGATACTAGCTTTCTTCCCGCAGCTTCGCCCGCGTTGAGTTCGGTTATATCACGTTTCTAAGTGAACCTTTCAAAAGTCTGGGATAAAAACTATCCTATGTTCTTTCTCAAGGTCAATTCTATATCTGTACCAAATGTCATTGAAATAAGTTAAGTGGTTTAGGTGTGAAAACGTAACAGACAAACAGACAGACAGAGTTACTTTCGCATTTATAATATCTATTAGTAGGGATGAATCAGAAATTAATTCAAATCATAACACATATATACATAATTATTGTTACAATGACTGTTACTAAATAATTAAAAAAATAACCGGTTCATGTTAATAACGATACAATTAACAGAATAATTATTTAATTTGTTTGTATAGAGGAAAATGTTAGTTTAATAAGACTAACTTAGCTCTTAAGCAAATAGTTGCATATTTTAACCAACGGTACAAAAGAGTAGTTAAATTTCGACTCAATGGAGATCTGATGTCCACATATATATGGCTATTTATAGCTAAATATTCTCAAAGGAATCTGTACCATATTCTTATTAATGTAAAGATCAATGTCATTTGAAAAAAATATAACAATCAGTACAAACTGCAGCTTCTTAAAATTTCAATCTCTTTAATGTTCGTTTTTGTAAAAAGTTAACAAACTTTTTGCTTGGTTAAAATAAATTCTTGATTATGAAATATTACGTTCATTATATTATATAAATAAGCCTAATGGCTAACATTAATATGTTTTAAGATAAATGTCTAGTTATCGTAAGACTATCTGGAACCCGCTAGAATACAACCTCGTATTAAAATGGCGATCAAGCATTGTGTAAGGTGAACTTGACTTATATTTATAATATTAATTTCTTAGTTCTTTCTTTTAGTTAGAACTTTAAGCATATTTTTTTATTAAAGATGTTATACATATAAATTAAATTATAATATTGAGCTATGACAATCTTAAAAAAATCGTTATAATTTTTAACTTTTTCTCCCGACTTTTCGGGATAAATTTCATTAATGGCAACATTAAAAGGACACTTTATTATAAAATAAAAAAATAAAAAAAATATTTTTACTTCTCTCACTATTAAGCTCTTGTAATAGAATTATTTGGATCAATTCATAATAATTCTTCAACCTATTGTTGCTTAATACTACAATTGAACACAATTATATGTGTCACTCGGCTTGTCATTCAAATATTATTAAATTACTAACATAAATATAATTACTTCCTTCAATATATTATTGCATTTATTTAATTAAATATAAGTCGCAGATACCTACTAGTAATAAATTTATTTTTATATCTATAATGTTGTATAATAATTACATATTTTTCTATAATTTTACATGATGGTATTTTAATTTCTGACAAACGATGTTGTATCATGACCTTGCTGTCATAAAAACCAGAAACTGACATCATGATAATAATTTAATAGTTGTGCTTTAACAATTGTTCTTGAATTATTATTACAACGTGACAAAAATACATGAGATAAAGACTTAATGTTAAAAATATAAGCTCTAAAAGAAGCTCTATACAAGCTATTTACTAATTATGACGAAATTCTTCTTCTATATTAAGAAATTATTTATATACAGTATATTATATTTGTTGAAACAGATAATGAAAATCATTAAGTATTTTGAGAAACAATTGCTTATCTCATCTCAAATATGTATATAAGTTTAATTTAGTTTTGTGAGTACAGCAGTACTTATTATTATTTTATACGAAGAAATGAGATTATAGAGGGTATTCATTTAAATGGAACTAATATTTTTCGAATGTACTACGTGATTTTTATTTTTGATAAAAAACTACATACTTCCGACGTTTCGGCTACTTTACAGCAACCGTGATCATGGGCAGACGAGATGTTGTGATTTCAAAGAATTCTCATTACTTCGTAGAAAATAATAAGGACTACGAAGTAATTTTTTTGATCGTCTCTCTTTCTGTTAACAAAGTAGTCTTTGAAAGGGCGAATCAGATTAGAATAATACTTAAATTTGAAGCTGTATATACTTTACAAATCAAATAACATGGTGCATACATTAACCAGAATGAATAGCACATATAATTTGGGTGAGAGAATCCAAAAGATCCTTATATATATATATTCATATATATATATATGAATAAAAAGGTTAATAAATAACGAAGAGCCATAATGTTATTTTAAATCATATCATTATCTTTTCATGTGTATGTGTTCACATCTGGGTTCATACATATAATCAGCGCTTGCGAATCTCGAGGTCGGCCTTACAAAATGTATTGATATCACGCTATTTTAAAATTATTTTTTTATTTTATTATTATCTATCAAATAGGTATTATATTTTCTATATATTTAATGTGTAATAAATTAAAACGTTAATTATATATATTCAAATACATTTATACTGTCATTTTATTGCTGTAAATTTAATTAGCTTTTAAATATGACCTCGTTTTGAACAACTGTTTGTTTTTTTGTCTGATAATTTTCTATTATTTATACTATTTAGACATAAACTTCAAAAAGTCTATTAGCCTTTTTTGGTTACAGATTTCTATAATGTATGTGGTAATTGTTTCAGGTGTCACAACGGCAGTGTGAATCGTGATAATTTCTGAGGAGTAAAATGAGAAAGGTTTAGTTAAAATGGAAGTAGCTTACAGCAGTGTTTTAGGTCAACCTCATCTGTCACATCTACCACAAAGACCACCCATACATCTTGGATTCCAGGATCTATCTTACAGCGTACCTGATGGAAAATGTATGTAACTATATAATTATACCTTTTAAATGTTTTTAATTTGAATCTTAAGTGGCAACTCGACGAATTTTACGACACTTACGCAATTTAAGTGTCATTTTTTTTTTCGTTTGCCATAAAATTATCCTCAATCTTTTGTTTTTAAGCGGAGATTAAATTTAATGACATGGATTTAATCTTAAATTACATTCATTCCAGTGTCGTTTATTGTACGTAGTTTTTTGTGAGGCTCGAACGTTTTAAACCATTGTACATGTTTAGTGACATTAAAAAAATAAGTAAGTGACGTCATCAGTGCAAAAATATAGTTTCCATAGTATCCTAGGTTTGTAATCACGAGTTAGCAAACGGTTGCAAAAGTCTAGTGACGGGCCTACATCGATATTATCACGATAAAATATGCATCCATTTATTCTTGCGATTTCTCATGAAATTATCACGCTCCAACAATTCTGGTCATAGATTTAATTTGATAAATAAAATCGTTTTAAAATTAAAGTAGTACAATGTCGATCTCCATATGCTTTATACAGGACTAGGGAGGGGTTACAAATTAAGAAAATATCAGTATTATCGATACTGTCACATCACTAGTATACACGTGACTGGGTCCTGGTGTTTAGTCACGGCACGTGACTCTAAGATCTATGTCGATGTAATTTCTTGAACTCCGATACAGTTGACTCATTTCGAAATGAGTTAAGCACCACTGGCCGAATCGTTGTTAAGATGGGTGACCGACATTACGATAGTCAAGTCTAAATAGGATGAATATTTACCTAAGCTTTATATATATTCGTTCTCTGCAAGGCTTTAGAATGAACTGATGTAATTTTAAAACATATTTATAATACTTATAAAACATTAATTCTCAGTGATATTTCATTCTTAATACATATGTACAATCATAATTCTACGTATATTTTTTTATGTTATTTTTATTGATCGGTATTCACTTCATGAGCAATCACTATACAGTTTATAGTGTATTTTATTATATAAAATATACGTAGAATATATGTATATATAGTGTAGTATAGTAATTATTAAGTTTAATTGAAAATTTTAATCAACAAGTAATGACAGTTAGTAGTTACTAAACTAATATTTTCAATGCCAAATATATAGCGAGGTCAATTATTTTAAGTACGTAGATTGCTGGAAACGAAATTAATTATTTTAGTATATTGTAAACTATAGTATTTTCTTCATTTATTTCTAATGAATGTTTATAGGAACCATAATTATATGTATTTCGTTATTTCCACAACGTGTTGCCTGTCTCTCCGGTCTAAATGCCTCAATCATTTTGCAATGCCTCATGCATTGGTCACATAAACCGGACACTTCTTTGTTATAATAGTTGTTTTAGTTTGCTTTATAAGTAATACATAAAAAATATCACTTACAACAATATTTGCTATTTATATTCAAACATTTCTGTAGTAAGAATATTTATATACATAAATCTCAAGGATCAAATTGTGTATTTAACGGTGTAAGGAAAAATATTGCACGGATATATTTCTATGTAAATTTTTATGATTTTCTTAGAGTAAATGATTTAGTCTGTTTTAAAAAAAATATGTTTATTTCTAATATGTATTCATTTTGTAGAAAAATATTTTGATAGAATTAATTTATAACATGAATAAGACCTTCACTTGCATTCATAGTTTTAGTAGTATTGTTTTTTATTTTGGTTATAATACACGCACACTGCAAAGTTTGGATGTAAACTGCCTAACTGTCAGTATGAAGTTTTAAATTGAAACTCATACTAAAGGTACACTTACTGTTCGTCGTATATTATGTATTCAAGACACATTAAAATCAATTTGTTATTCTCATCAACGTCTGCACTATTTACAGCCCTTTCACTCGCTTTACTTACAAAACAAAACAAAACAACTTTTAAAGACGCATCGGATATTATACTCACATATTATTTCTTGATTATTTCCTTTATTATTTATATTTACGTAAACAATTTTTTTTATTGGTTTTGTAGTACATTCTTCAGCGCAACCATCTTGCCTTATATGTTATACATATATATATACTCACTAGCTCTCCGCCCGCAGCTTCGCCCGCATGGAGTTCGGTTATATCGCGTTTCCAAGAGAACATTTCAAAAGTCTCGGATAAAAACTATCCTATGTTCTTTGTCAATGTCAACTCTATGTCTGTATCAAATTTCATTAAAATCAGTTCAGTGGTTTAGGCGTGAAAGCGTAACAGACAGACCGACAGACAGAGTTACTTTCGCATTTATAATATTAGTAGGGATTCTTCAGCGCATCCATCTTGCCTTATATGTTATACATATATATACTCATAAAATATCTTATTTGTATAGCCGCATTGAAAGTATAATGTAAGAATTTAAATACAAAGCCTTGTTGATATTATTTACAAAATATTCTCGACTTAAATTCACAAAGGAATTTATTATTTAACAAAAGAACTTGTGCGTTACCATATTAATATTTGTAAATAACAAAAGAATGTTTAATATTGAAATATTAAATTCATAATAGAATTTAATTTATAACAATTTGTTGTATAATTTTCTGAAAAAAATTGTTATTAAAATACAATTATATAATAAAATATACATTTTATAAATACGTTCCATTCGCCTTGACTTTGTACTTGGTGAATTCATTAGACCAAAAACACTAAATACAGGTCGCAAATAATAATTATTCATTTAAATGAAACTAATATTTTTCATATATACTACGCGTGTTTTATTTCTGTAAAAAAAACTACATACTCCTGACGTTTCGGTTACTATCAGTAACTGTGATCACGGGCAGATGAGAATTTTTTATTCTTGGTAATACATGTTTTTACGGCATTCCAAGAAAAATACGTACACACTTTAATAAAAATAGTTTAAAGTTTGAATGAATAGCAAAACTAATCATTCCTCGTATTAGAGTAAGTTTTGATATTACTAATAATAGAAAAAATAATATTTGTATACCATTAAATTAAATTCTAATTTATTCAATAACAGTGTTTTTCACTCCGGACAATCATATAAGTGATGAATGTTAAGTTTTCTTGGAATATTTTCGTTTCAATTTAATATTTGGTCTTTGGTATATATTAATAATACACAAAAAAAATATCTTTTATATAATGGGTTGTATACGAGAGATTTTATAATAGTAACTGTATAACTACATACGTAGCGTTAACAGTCTTCTTCTTCTTCCTAGCAATTTCCCAGCTGTAGCCAGGGTCTGCCTTACATGTTGTGAATAGTTTTGGCTTATTGTTTTTACGACCGGCCGCCTGCCTGACATCAACCCTCTTTGGGAAAACAGTATCTTATTCATAAATCTTGGTATATAGTACGTAGTAAAGTACATATTTAAGTCAGTGTTTGCCTAGTGGTTAAAAGGCCCGCCTCTCATGCATGAGGGCGCGTGTTCGATCCTGGCCCAGGCATATGTACTTTCTGAGAGTATCACTGATCAATGCATCACTGATCAATGCATTCCCAAAGAGGGTTGATGTCAGGCAGGCAATTAGCCAAAACTATTCACAACATGTATGGCAGACCCTGGCTGAAGCTGGGAAATTGCCAGGTAGAAGAAGATTGAACGAGAAACGGTGAATGCGTCGTGTGCAGTGTGACGTGGCAAACTTGTATTATGCATACATAAATTTACGATGCAAAAACGGCTAACGGAATTCAGAAATAGCACGGAATTTTCTGTTAGCTAAAGTAGTTTTCTGGCTTAATATTATGTTAATCTTTCATTTCTTATAAATCGGTAAAACATTCCCAGGATCCAATGACAAATACATATGTATATATTATAAGTTTTAATATAAGTAGCCTGCTTAATTGTTATTAAAAAGAAAATAGCAAGATTATGTCTGAAGCATTGGTCTATTTTTATAAAAGTACATATATTATCAAAATCAGAAGCGACTTAACTGTATAGAAATATCAAACATATTAATATCTGAATTCCGTTAACCATAATTCCTAATAGTTCTGTTGAACTTGATCGTTTGCATAAATTAAATTTATATTTTTTACTTTGCTAGAGTTTGTATTTTTTTTTTTGGCATGAGTGAAAAACATTTCTCCTTTACTTAATTCTCAATCTTATTTTTGTTGACTAGCCTCATAACGTTATCGTCATTGTGTGGGTTAATACGTTTTCTCGAAGATTCCTTCATCAGATTCCGAATAAGTGACAATAATTACTTCAGCATGATGCAATTTCGCATAAAAAATATTTTGAAAATCATTTAATTCAATGAAAAAGGTATAAACATTTCATAATGTCAAAATCGGTGCATTGTTCCGGAGAGTAACCGTTATAAACAGAGAGACAAAAATAAAACGTATGTATGTAGTATTTAACATGCGTTTATACTTATGATATAATATTATATGCTTCAGTAAACGCAAAAACATTGATTTGTAATAACAATGATATAGTTCAAATTTATTTATTACTAATTTCCCGTGAATTCATTCGCATTAATTTCGGAATTAGCAATATACATATGTATAGCTATTCCCGCCAATTTCCTTTCAGCTGTTCTTGAGTTATAAATTGTCTAACTAACACAATTTTCTTTTAGTATATATCATATAACAAAATAATTTCTAAATTTTTCGAGTGTATTTGTTTTATATTGCTTTGATTTTTATATTGTGTTGTTGTTTAAATCCATATCAATATAAATTACCATCAACTAAGCTGTTATATCTTTCAAAAATAAGTTGCGTAAATACTTATAAATAATAAACTTATAAATTCTTTCCAGACTAAATCCGACTATATTCTAATAATGGCATGCAAATATTCATTTATATAAAAATACTGATAACAAACTTTTTTAAGCCTAGTTTACGTAATCCAAGAAACCTTGATCTTAAAACGTATTTCTATTACAACAGACTATTAATAGATTCTCACACATAATATTCTTATGATTCGTATTTAATTAACATATTAATTTAATTTAACCTCAAATAGAATAAATTAATCATTTATTTTGTTTTTTTGAGTGATTTTTTTTTCTAACGCGAGATATTTTTTTCGTAAAATAAGCCTATAATAAAATTATATATAAAGTCATTTTTATTATCTGTATGCCGAATCTTTTTCCCACTCTGTGTAAATAAGTTTAAAACATATTAACTTTTCCTAATTATTTTAAGACAGGAACCAGTTTAATTTGTAAGCATATTCATATTTATTGTCTTTTAAATGAATAAAAAGCTATGTAATATTTATTTCAATATGATTGATAACAGATTTACGTAAAATGAACTCAAAGTTCATTGACACCGCAGCAACAAACATGCGTTGTATTAAATATAAAAAGCTAGTGTCAATGTTCTTCTAATAGTTAAATCGGTTGTGATAAACAAAATTATACGTTAATTAATAGGGTTAAGGTTTCAAATTGACTGGCGATGTTCGTCACTGGGTTAAATCTGTTTTCATCTGTCATTTCGATACAATGCCGGGGTCAAGGCGGGTCATCTGTCAAACTGACGAATTCTGTCAAAATATTTTACGTCATTCTTAAAGCAACTGCTGCTTAAAATATGTATGAATTTTCAAAGGATTTGTTATTGATTTTTAAAACAATACGAAGGCCATGAGAAATATTGAATAAAATATTTATATACATATTTTAAAATAATAAACATATTATAATATGTATATGTAATTTAAATTATTCTGACGTATATGCAAAAACATTTGGCTAGAATTGTTTTCGTTATCAATAAAAATAATAAAAAAAATATTTACCGTTAAAATAAAATTCAGTCTATTTTCAAATGATTTACGTAATGAGATTCAAACATTAGTTTTGTTTTGTACGCTTTCGTTTTAATTCACAAAATAAGTCTGGCCTAGTAACCTTTCGGGCCTTGATCCAATATCTAATTGGGTGCAACCCAATTTTATAATCAGACAGCTATCAATAATGAATAATTATGATAAACAACTCTTACATTTATAAATATAATTATATTTGTCATATAAATATAATCTGTTGCATATAAATTGTAATTTATGTGACTTATGTTTGAGTTTTTTGTACGTAATAATAATAAATATTTTATAAGGACACTCATTGGTCATTCTGTCTGCCTGTTATGTTGTAATGTATTGCTTGTTTATTGTGATTGTCTGTACCATTACTCTGAGTTTATACGAGCAAAATACACGTTTTACGTTTTTAGTTTATCATAAAAAATACGTATATATTTACCATCATGTAAGCGTCTGTCGATGTTTATTTATCACAATATTCACTTTTGTATTATAAATAACGTAGCTACAAATTATAGTAGTAGATTACTGATTTAGAAACGGGAAACGCTTGGTATGTAGTGTTTACAAACATGTGGTAAGCGCACTGATTCAATCGAAACAGGAAATAATAATGTACCTTAATACACGTTTGTATTCTCGCCCTTGTTTTTAAATTAGTCAATATAATTATTATAAAAGTATTAAAAATAGAGGACAATGAGACAAAAACAGTATCACATGTTAATGAAATACCTAGGTAGGGGTATGAAGCGTTGTATTCTACTCGTATAATAGAAATATGTTTCATCTTTTACAATAACACAAGAATATAACAAAAAAATATTTCAATTAAAACTATATTAAACATATTTATATTTATATATTTGTGACTCAGACTGGTTGTCAAGTATTATCAATAAATTCTATTAAATTATCTTTATAATGGGAACTGTATATATGTTGTTGCAGCGTCAAAATTAATATTAAGAGGCCTCAATGGTGAGTTCCGTTCGGGTCAGTTGACAGCTATACTTGGTCCATCGGGCGCTGGGAAGAGCACTCTACTCAATATACTAGCCGGATACAGGTAGAAAACACATAAAAATAGATATTACTGTACATTATACTGTAATGACTAGGAATTAAGAGCTATATTTGCTTCTATAAATAAAGAAGCGAACGTAATTTACTTGTTTCCTTTATTTTAACTTAAATAAATTCGATATTGATTATGCTTTTGAAAATAGAAATGCTTAGAAGCAGAAACTGCTTCTACAAGTTCTTTCAGAAAGTGGAGTATTTCTAATTTAAAATCAAAATTATTATGTATCATAAAACTTATGTAACTAAATACAGTCAAAAGTTTATTATAAATTAAATTTGTGTGTTCATTTATAAAGTTAAGTACCTATATGCAATATTCACGGCATTCTCCGGCGCATTAAAAATGTTCCAATGTAGTGATATTATTTTCATATTAAAGATTTTGTCCCTACCAAAGTCTAGCATCTGTTTCCATTCAGTTTTTTGGTGATTCATAGCATTAAGTTGATCAGCTTTGGAATATAAACATACAAAGTCATTTTACTTTGAAACTATGTTATTGTTTTATAAAATATTAATTATTAATTTCCGTTTACGCAATAATATAGTGAAAGGTATGTGTTGTTTTCATTCCAATACGTTGATAATTAAGAACAAAACTAAAATAAAATCGTTCACCAAGGTAATCAAATTCATTTAAATTAAACTAATATTTTCGGATTTATATAATTTTTGAACTACATAATTCCTTCTTTGCAGACTGATCACGGTTGCTTCAAAGTAACTGTCGTTATTAAAATAATAAAATAACGCGTAGTCCGAAAATATTAGTTTCATTTAAATGAATACTCGCAAATTTAGTTCTCATAATCAAATTCCGAATTCCACACAGAGTAAGTGGTTCAACGGGATTAATCTCAACAAATGGCGAGCCCAGGAACCTTCGATTATTTAGGAAATTATCCAGATACATCATGCAAGAGGATCTATTACAGCCTCTCATCACCGTACAAGAGGCTATGGAAATGGCCGCCGACTTGAAACTAGGCGGTGGAATCAAGAAAGCTGAGAAGAAGATTATAGTAAGTATCCTTTGATATGATATCAGTCTTAATGTATTATAAGTTTGCACTTTACAATACATATGAAAAGTCTCCTGTTTCTTATTCAATAACCTACGTTAATGATAAGATATTCAAGTAAGCGGATCTTCATTTAAATGAAACTTATATTTTTGGATTACTACGCATATTTTATTATTTTAAAAACTATATACTCCCGATGTTTCATTTCATCTACCCGTGATCTAGTTTGTTGCAAAGTAATAAAAATGTCGAGAGTATGTTTTTTGTAATAATAATATAGTAATCTGAAAAATATTGGTTTAACTTTGGTTAATACTAAAAAGTGACAAAATATATGGACGAAGGACTCATAAATCCACGTTTAGTTACGATGTCAACTTGGAATAAGTATAATCCTTTATTCTTAATGTCTGCACTTTTTTTAACTTAATCCAAATTCGCTCCACTAAAATATAGATTATAAAAATTGTTCCGAAATATTGAAGTGTGTTTTCTATTAATAAAATAAAAGTTATTGCTATCCACTACTGAAGTAACTATTCCAGTTTTATATATTTAGTAGCAGTTTTCAATATAAACACATTTTCTTTCATAAATTCCCGCATATTATGTTAAATGTGACTTAAACGCTTTGTACGTAGTTTCAAAACTTGGAGTAAGTACATATGTATATTGAGCAGAAAGGGTTTTCTGCCACCATTCGCAAAATTCACAAAAAAATTCGTTGGTCCACATTCAATAAATTTCTATTTAGTCTTTAATCTAGTTGATGGATTATTTTAATGGATGATTTATGTATAAAAGTAATGAAGTTTTCAAGACTTTATTACATATTCTCTAATACATCTATCTATTTTAACTGTCGTTTATTATAAATAAAACAATTTCATTTCAAACCGTTAAATCATCATCTCATATGTATTCGTATTTGAGTGAGTGCAATGTTCACTTCATTCATAATTCATGATGTGTTAATGATGTGTTCAAGGGTCCTTCTATTGTTCGTTCAAATAAACATTATTTAAACTGCATTAAGGTTAGAAACTAACACATGCGCTAGAACTATATTGTATAAAATTAACTAACAAACTCAACTTGAGCATTTTAAATTTTGTTCAATCTTCGTTAGAAATAAACTAACTTTAGTCTTTCTTCTTCTTTTACCTGGCGATTTCCCAGCTATACCCAGGGTCTGCCTTACAAGTTGTGAATAGTTTTGGCTAATTGTTTTTACGACCGGCCGCCTGCCTGACATCAACCCTCTTTGGGAATGCATTAATCAGTGATGTCTAAATACTCTTAGAAAGTACATATGACTCAGAAAAATCACATTGGTACTTGCCCGGGCCAGGATCGAACCCGCGCCCTCGTGCATGAGAGGCGGGAATTTTAACCACTAGGCCACTACTGACTGGACTAACTTTAGTCTTTATTTCTTGCAATTACCTTGTATTAAGTAACATCCTTGACTTTTTTATTATACGATAACAATTTATAGTCCTTAATAACAAAGTTAATTAGATAATAAGATTTAAATAGTCCATGATAGTCTAGAAGAAGATTAATTATTTTGTCTTCACTACCAAGTGAGATAATTAACAGGAAAATCTTAGGTGTATAAAACACACTAGTGCAAGGTGTCACTTAATAAGTATTTATTTTGTTATAATGTAGCACTCTAAGTAAATAAGAATATAATTATATATTGCAACAATGTTTATTTATTAATTGAACGGTATTTTATTATTCAATATATATTTTATAAAATGAACTCTGTCTTAGAAAAGATTATTCATTTTATACTAGTTTTCCGCCCGCAGCTTCGCCCACGTGGACATCGTTTATATCGCGTTTCCAAGAGAACCTGTCAAGAGTCTGGGATAAAAACTATCCTATGTTCTTTCTCACGGTCAACTCTATCTCTGTACCAAATTTCATTAAAATCAATTTAGTGGTTTAGGCGTGAAAGCGTATTTTTCATTGTTTACTCCCCGCAACTCCCGTGTGGGTGGAATATCGTAAAATCCGTTCTTAGCTGACCTCTACTCGGCGAAAGGAATAATCCTACCTAAATTTCAAGTCGCTACGCCTTATGGTTCCAGAGATATCGTGATGAGTCAATATATAGGTGGAAATCTCTTTTATATATATAGATTAAAAGTGTTTTGTTTCAGGTAGAAGAAATTATACAATTATTAAGGCTGAATAAGGCTCGGAACACATCTAGCGAGCGTTTGTCTGGAGGTGAACGGAAAAGACTTTCCATCGCTTTGGAGCTTGTCAACAATCCGCCTGTGGTCTTTCTTGATGAACCAACGACGTGAGTTACTGATTACCTATTATTATTCTTATACAAATAATGCTACAACAAATACGTCTTTAGGGCTACATAATAAAGTTTAGTTTAGTTTGTATAGATGAAATTAGGAAGACAAATGAATAAAAATACTAACACTTTTTTGTATACGATTTTCTATGTATAAGACGCGAATAAATAATGAATCAATTTTTAATCAATTGTTACATACAACAAAATAAGTTAAAGGTAACGTAAACTTTGACAATTAAAAAGAAATTTTGTGAAATCATGGTAAATATAGATTTATAAAGCAAAATTGAAGCTGTTTGTTTTAGGCTCATTGTGATAAATTGTACTGGAAAACATATATTCGTGGCTCATTGCAGATTATTTTGCAACCCATCAATAAAACAAATGCTCAATATTAAAAACAATTCTATGGACAACCATTTCTTATTTAAAAATTAATATTTTTCGGATATGCTACTCGTGCTTAATTTCGAAATTAATATTACAGTATATCCAAATATTAGTTCCATTTCAATGATTAACCTTCGCAAAAGTCTTAGATATAACCATTTTTATGACCCCTTACGTTAAACAATTTCCTTCATTCCAGAGGTCTAGATGTCTTATAAAAACCATTTTCTATGACCTCTTAGCTCGAACAATTTGCTTGTTTCCAGAGGTCTAGATGACGTGGCATCCTCAACGTGTGTGTCACTCTTGAAGCGCGTGGCACGAGGTGGTAGGACGGTAGTATGTTCGCTCCACACGCCGTCTGCTCGTCTGTTTGCGATGTTCGACCACGTGTATGTGGTGGCTGGTGGTAGATGCGCCTACCAAGGCTCATCTGCTGGAGTGGTGCCATTCCTTAATGAACTGGCCCTGCCGTGCCCGAGGACGTATAACCCTGCTGATTTTAGTAGGTCTTCTTCTATTTTCCTGCTGCTTAACTTATAACCCTGTCGATTTTAGACGTCTTCCCTTATAACCCAACTGATTTTAGTAGGTCTTCTTTTATAACCCCGCTGATATTAGTAGGTCTTTTTCATAACCCTGTTAATTTTAGTAGGTCTTAACTTATAATCTTGCTGATTTTAGGAGGCCTAGTTCTATTCTCCTTTCCTTTGGTTTATTCTTGTTTAATATGAATACGTAATACCGAATTTTAGTCAGTGGTGGCTCAGTGGTTAAAGGGCCCGCCTCTCGTCGCCGAGGGCGCGGGTTCGATCCTGGCCCGGGCAAGTACCAATGTGATTTTTCCGAATGATATGTACTTTCTAAGAGTATTTAGACATCATTGATTAATGTTGATTCCCAAAAGAGGGTTGATGTCAGGCAGGCGGCCGGTCGTAAAAACAAAATTAGCCAAAAACTTTTCACAACATGTAAGGCAGACCCTGGCTTAAGCTGGGAAATTGCCAGGTAGAAGAAGAAGAAGAAGAAGACGTAATACCGAATTTTACTTAATTTTAGTAGTTTTCATTATAACATAACTTCAGAAATTCCAGTCCATTGCATAAAATCATTTGATAAAATCATTTGATTATTAATAATGAATCTTATTTCTATAGTCATAGAGGTGTCGAGTGGTGAATACGGTTCACACGTGGACAAGATGGTTACTGCTGTGGATAATGGAAGGTTGCAAAAATGGAGACAATACGCTTTAGAGGAAGAGTGTCAAGAGATGGAGATAGAACAGTTGAATACAGACGTAGTAGAAAACCATGTGTACAAGTATGAGAGCTCCACGTGGCAACAGTTCTATGTTCTGTTGAAGAGAATGATACTACAGACGGCCAGGAATAGGGTAAGTCGATAATATGATAGTGTTTTAAGATAATATTGATAGTAGTTTAGGAATATAGTTTTCAGCAATATGATTTTAGACAATTTTGCAAAAAAACTTGGCTAAGAATCTTTATAAGGCTGTAATTTTTTTTGTTTTGTTTCTATGTATAGAGACCTATACATATATGTTGATAGTATTTTAATAATCTCGTTCTCAGCAATACGACTTCAGATAATTTTCCAAAAAACTTGGCCATATATTCGCTTTATATTCATAATACCTTTTACTAATAAAGGTGTTTACAGAATTTTGCAAAAAAAACTTGGCTTAGAAGAAAATCTGTATAAGTCTCTATTTTTTTCTATTTCGTTTCTAGTATACTTTAGATAATACGAACCACAAACCTATGAAAGAAATTTTAATTAATTGTCTCTTAGTGATATATTATTTTAATTAATATTCATAACAGGACTACCTCTGGCTACGTGTTGGTCTCCATCTATTTCTGGGCGGTATAGTTGCTGCTCTTTTTAGTGAGATGGGCAACGACGCGTCTAAAACTTTATTTAACTTCGGTTTTTGCTACGCCTGTATCATTGCCATGCTCTACACAACTATGATGCCCATATTATTGGCGTGTGAGTATTAATTAAATTGAATTAGCCCACAAATAGAAATGCACAATCTTACTATGGTGTTCTTCATTACTATTCTTTATCAGTACTAATAACAAGTCAGTAGTGGCCTAGTGGTTAAAAGGCTCGCCTCTCGTTGCCGAGGGTGCATGTTCGATCCTGGCCCGGGCAAGTACCAATGTGGTTTTTCCGAGTCATATGTACTTTCTGAGACTATTTAGAGATCACTGATTAATGCATTCCCAAAGAGGGTTGATGTCAGACAGGCGGCCGTAAAAACAATTAGCCAAAACTATTCACAACATGCAAGGCAGACCCTGGGTGTAGCTGGGAAATTGCCAGGTAGAAGAAGATCAGTACTAATAACAATTATCTTTCCAGATCCTACAGAAGTATTACTGGTGAAACGCGAGTACTTCAATCGCTGGTACGGTTTAAAACCTTACTATTTGGCGTTAGTAGTGTCTCGGACACCAGTCACTATGTTCTTCTCCCTCATGTACCTGGGTATAGTGTACCCTCTGACATCACAACCTCTGGAACTGAACAGAATATTAATGTTCATGACCATATGTATATTGACAGCATTGATATCGGAATCGATGGGCACTTTGATATCGTCTACTCTGAGCGTTGTTGTGAGTTATATCTTTTATTATAATGTTATTATAATTATATATTACTAGCTTTCCGCCCTCAGCTTCGTCAGCAGCTTTCGGTTATATCGCGTTTCCAAGAGAACTTATCTAAAGTCTGGGATAAAAACTATCCTATGTTCTTTCTCAAGGTCAACTCTATGTTTGTATCCAATTTCATTAAAATCAGTTCAGTGGTTTAGTCGTGAAAGCATAACAGACAGACAGACAGAGTTACTTTCGTATTTATAATATTATAGGGATAGCTTATATATAATTTTATGATCTCGTCTAGTCTTGTTGAATCTTAAAGATAATCTATAATTATTTGTCTTCTGAATTTCGATCACATAATTCATTTAATATATTTTGTAGTATTGTTTTAATGTTGTTAATGATGTGTGAATAAATAATTTTATTACCGTCTCAACCTCCTAGTGTCGTGTTATGTATAGTGAGTGACTAATTCGTGAAAAAAATGTTGACACGAATATATAGAATTATAATGATGTCTAAGATTTTCGCGTGTACTCGTTAAAAAGGAGCTAAGCTTTTCGGATACTACGTTTTTTTATTATAATCCCCACATTTCAGTTTCTTTACACGTAACCTTGATTACTTATTAACATATTACGTAGTTATTAAACAATAAAAAACGTATAGTATCTGAAAAAATTCGTTTCGTTTAATACAGTAATATCAAAAGTTTTTTTCACCAACAAATATCCTTAGTGGTCATCAAAATATATTTTATCCAAGCTTTATACATTATAAGCAATTCTTTTCCCGATCAAATATCATCATCATTGCTTATTGATTTTTTATCCATAGTTAATAGCTTATATGTTTATATGTATAGAACTCAATGTTCGTGGGTCCGGTAATATCTGTTCCGTTGATGTTGCTGTCCGTATACGGTATCGGAGATGGTGATGTCCAGCCTCCTATGTTGTGGAGGCTGGCGCGGGCCTGCTCCTTCATGAGGTACGGCCTCGAAGGCCTGGTGGCAGCGGTGTACGGACCTCCACGGGCCGACCTGCCATGTCCCGAACATGTGGTGTATTGCGAGTATAAGAATGTGAGGTGGGTAGAATGATATTTGTTATGTTTTGGTTATAACATGTAGTGTTTTATTTGTTTTTGATGATGTTAAGTTGAAAAAATGAATGACGAGTGGAGTGAATTCGCGTGGAAGAAGTGAAACAGTGATGGAATGAAAAGAGGAAGGGATAGAAATTGAATTATAAGGAATTTTTAGATAAACTTTATTAGCATTACTTACAAGTCACAATTCATTGCCCGGACGCGTTCGAGCGCCACTAATTAACTCTCGCTTCAATAAAAAATATTTTGTGATTGAAGTTTGTGGTAGAATTTTATAACTCTCCTTGTTTTTTATAACCTTTGATTTAATTTTAAATGTTATTTTATTTATATAAGATATTAAATATGTGAATGTATATTTGAAGGTACTTCGTGAAGCTGATGGGTATGTCTGGAGTATCGTTCTGGTACGACTTCTCCGTATTACTCTTCATACTCTTCTGTATGAACATCGGCGCCTATTATTTATTAAGACAAAGACTTTCGCCGAACTACGCGTTCAAAACAATCAAACTCATCGGAAGGTTCGTTAAAACTAAATTAAAAGTTTAGATTATATACTAATTTTGTAGTTTATAGTTTAAATATATTTAATATCAGCCATGAAATCTGTTTTTATAGATATTTGAGTTTTTATGGTAAATAAACTTTTATTTAGACAGAATATTGGTTATATTAAATTGTGATCCAAACAAAGATTCCTAAAAATATGTTAAGAATTATTACACGATTATATTTAAGTGAATAGTTTTGTATAACACACTTTTCAATAAAAACCAGTTACATAAAAATGTAAGTAATAAAGTCCTCGTTAATTTCCTATAATTAATTTAAGTTTTTGTTTTATATTTATTGAATGATATGTATCTTTTAACAATTTAACTTTAAATGGACTAATTGATATTGTTTAATAATGTTGAAAAGATTGTGTTTTATCAAATTTTATATTTTGGTGTAACAAAGTGGTTATTTTAAATTATTATATATTTTTTTGCTATGACTAAAGTATATCTGGCTATTGTCAATGTATTTTTGAAATACGATTATTTGAAAACTGTTTAATAACTTTTGTATGTATTTTTTTTTGTAAATTAATTTAAAGTAAGATTTGGTGTTGAATAAAATGTGGAATGTTCTAGAAAAGTATAGTAAAGGGTGTTTAAGATGAGACTGGTTTGTAATATTGAGTTGGAGATAATAAATAATTGAAATATATAACTTATTTAACTTTCTATATTCAATTATTAATAGACATTGTATCTTTTATACTCACACACACACATACACGAACACACACACACACATACACACATTTATATATAACTTGGCTACAAAATAAAAGAAGTTATTTCCATCGTATAAATGACATTTATTTGTTACATCAATGATTCTCACTAACATTTTTTATTTATTAGCATTATAAGTTCGAGACATCTGACTAGGCGAGCCAATTAACAGAAACCTATACATATAAAATAAATTTAATGGTCTTTCTGTGATTTAATATACATATATTTGAGTCTATAGCGAGGCAAGGATATCTTTTATAATTTCTTTTGTCTGTACAAGATTTAAATAAAATTATTGTTTGTTCGACGTAACTTGTCACAGATGAAAAATAAAAAAGAACACTGCCACAGATTATATAGGAAATACATATTTAGATTGACAAAACTCAAATTGTTTTTTATATGTAAACAATTTTTAATGTAATAATTATCAACATTGCGAGTAGAATATATATTTTAATTAATAAATCTAAGGCTGGCGTGTATATTGATAAAGCTAGCCTTAACTATAAGTGTCAAAAGACAATAAACTTTATTTAAAGTAACTATCCATATTATTCTCATTGTTCCATTTTAACAATGTTAATTAAATTAAATTTTAGAGATTCTCATCAAATCTGATTATATTATTAAGTACAGTTATATTAAACAACACAAATTCTGTTATTTCTATATAATAATAGAAATTATACAATTTATTAAATAAATTTCTAATGCTGTGAAACATTCAGTGCGATTATACTAGTTTCAAATTAATCCGCTAGATGGCGCTGTTCCAAGGTAAAGTTATTACCTACATGACATAATATGTATTTATGTGTTATACCTAATTAAAAATAAGCGAAATATAATAAATGGAATGTTCTTATATTGAACACTTTGATCATGTGGTATTTTATAAAAATTGTCATTAAGTGCAGCTCGTGTGAATGCGTCTTTAGTTATTATTTGATATGTTTTATGAAAATAAACATTTTAAAATCTAACAAAATAAACAATTTTTTTGCTAACAATAAATAAAAATAAACCAAAATATATTTCTTCAAAGACACCAACATTTTTTGTCTTATAATGATTGGCATAAAAATAAATTTCTTAACAGAAAATATACATACCAACGACAATAATAAGGTTTAAAATAAAAATAAATATAACATCATAAAAAATAAAATATTTGAAAACGTTTATAATAACATTAATTATTAATAAAAACAAATCCAATCAAATTCTGAGTATTTTCAATAATAAAACATACTTTCCAGTTGTTTTAGTAATTCAATAAGAAAAATATTTCATAATCTCACTCTTGCATAATATTTTTTAGGAATATTATACCACTGTAATATCAAAGAAAGTTAAACTTAAAAATAACTGAATTTGTGACAAAAATGTTTGAAACTTAATCTAAATAATGAAAATAATATTAAGAATACTTTAATAGTAAAAAATGTTAATTCTGAGCTATGTACATTCCACTATCCCGGCTCTAAAATAACTTACTCTATATACACTGGTAACTTCATATAACTAATATATATGTTTATATACAGATGGGTATATGATGATAATATATCCTATATTTTTGACTTGTATATATATAACGCGAGTTTCATTATCATTAAAATTTCCTAACAATTCCTATTGTCATAACTTTGTGTAATCTGACTATAAAAAATGATTCAAAACAAAATACATACATTCATGGAATGTATTAAATTGTTCTAAGGCTCAATTCATAGTTTATCCTACTATAATAATCGCGAAAGTTTGAGTGTGTGTGTGTATGTTTGTTACTTCTTCACGATCAAACGGTTGAACCGATTTTGATGAAATTTTGTATACAGGTAGCTGACGACCAGGAATAAGATATAGGCTACTTTACATGACGGAAATGCACGTAACACAAGGCGCAGCTAGTAGTTAATTAATACTAGAAAACGAATTGCTGGCTTAGTTTTTCATTGTCACACTGCTGTATGTGTAGTATAGGTTGTTCTGTGTCAATGCAAAGGCCGAGGCTATTATGTTTGATGAGATTTCTTCGTCTTGTCCACAATTGGTTGATGTCTGAAGGGTCACATATTGTTAGTATGACAGACACGCTATCTTCTTGAGATAGACCCAAACATAAGGATTGATGACGTATGAGTCCGTTGTCGAAACTCCATTCTTGATTCCCGCCTGTATTATGACAGGGATACATACCTGGAAGGAAAATCACATTAATGACTTAGATTATTTAAAAAATCGTGGTGGCTTAGAAGTTAAATGCCTTTTTTTGCCTGCCTTTCGTGCATGAGGGCAAGTACCAATGCAATTTTTTCGAGTCATATGTAATTAAAAGAGTATTTAGACATCACTGACAGATGAAGGAAAACATTGTGAGGAAATTTGACTTATAATTTCAAATTATATTGAAATCGCCAACCCATCTTGAGCAAGCGTGGTGATTAATGCTCAAACCTTCTCCATGTGGGAAAAGGCCTTTCAGCAGTGGGCTCTGATAGGTTGATGATACTGATGAATAACTTAGATTTACAAATATCTGTCTTTTCAGGGTCTACTCTAAGATTCTTCCGTAATTTTCTTTTTGGAACACAATACTTCAAGAAAATTAAAACATACGATATTCTGAAAGAACTTAATTGGGAGTCATTTTCATTTTTATGGACTTTTTTTTAGCAAAAACTATCCCATACCACAGAAAAAGAACTAATTTTTATTTAAGGTCCTATTGTGGAACAAAATATGTGCTATATTCAAATTTGGTTAGGTAGAGAGAGGAGCTATGACAGTGGGGGTGAGCGTTTAACGCGCGTTATATAGGGGCTTAAACCTACACCTGGGTCACAAGTCACAGTCACTGTTGAAGCTCCTCTCACTACAACGATGGACCCGACACACGCACCGTGAATATATGGAATGATGAGAAGTTTCGGCTTATCTTAAGTATTTTGTTGTATCTAAATCAAACGCACTATACTGTTCTTGTTAACTAAGCAAGGTATATGTTTTTAAGCATGCTAGGTTTACATCCAGAAGACTGCAACTTAATGACACTCTGTTTAGCTTAGATTTTATTTTATATGCACTAGTTATAAGTAATAAAAAAAAGTTATTACATACCGACAGTTCCATCGACTTGATGTCCCATAGTGTCCAAACATTTTGTCCCTTGCTTGATAGCGATCGAGTTCCCGAAGGTAGGGACTCGAAGTTCTGGGTATACGTGTTGCAGGTACCAGCGGAATGACTTACAGTGTAGACGTTCACGGATAGACACGCGCTCTGATATACTAGAGATGAAAACAGAGAAGATACTGTGAGGATCTGATGATAAATATATATTTAAATGAGCAACTCTTGTATATATATTATTGGAATCTTGGAATCAGCTCCAACGTTTTCATGAAATTTAATATATAGGGGTTTTCAGGGTCAATAAATCGATCTAGCTAGGAATCATTTTTAGAAAACGTCATTTATGAAAAAAAATATTAAAAAGGAGGCCTTTAAAATATGACTCTCCCTGACATCTATTGGCGAATAGTAATACTAGTTTTTGCTAATAGATTTTAATAATTGTTTGATCGACACAACAAAAGCTGGCGTTGTTAAGTACCAGGAAAACAATGAGTGTTTGTTTTGAATTTAGACTAAGAAATTAATTGTTGATTTATATTATTTTACGTCTTCTTAACGTGTTCACTTAAAAATGCCTAAATGAAATAAAAAAAAACACAAAATAAATACTAATAATTACTAAATACCGAGCAAAGCTCGGTAACCAGGTGTTATATATACATATACGAATTGCTTAGAACTTTTGTGCGGTGTTTGATATGAATAGCTTTTGTACTTTGTACACTTTAGTAGAATAAATATGTTAAATAACACAAAAATATATATTAATACCTTTGGAAGTTTTGTGTGAAGTCTCTGAGGGAAATAGCTTTTGTATTCAGTATATTTCAGTACAACAATAATTGCACATATTTTTTGTACAATAAATTTCAATAGAATAATAATGTTACATATTTTATTGGTTTTATTTTAGACGACACTTAAAGAACTTAGTCTAAGGCTATTTGATTCGATATCTAATACTATTTCTAATATTCTATAATCAATTTGATTGTTATACATATATACTCACTCTCCAAAGTCCACTTGTTTCGCCAGCGGTTGTGATCTGTAGTATAATTCTTTATAGTCATCCATCCATACTTCTGCCGCTCGCCTCGTGTTTCTGGCAAATACTGCCCCAGATCCGCCCGGGAAGGAATAGGGGTGTCGCTTCCTGAATACATGTCCTACACGGGAACACGGCACTATCTCCAACGAACCGCCGCATTGCCAAACCCTAATGATAGAATTAAATTCAAGTATTATATAGTTCTTTAGTTATAAATAGTGTAACTAACAGGAATTTCTTATATATATATATTGCTGTTTTTTTAGAGTTACCTGAAAGAAATCTCCAAATTTTCTCCGCCCCATACATCCATTTTCATGTCGTATTTGCCGAGCTTGCTGAAGTATTTCCGATCCATACTGAATAACCCACCAGCTATCATAGGTGTTCTTATGACTTGTGTCGGATCACTCAATCTTGCGCCACGCTCAGCTTGTGATAGGTACTCCCACTGGAAGAATTTTACATAATGATATGTAAGATTTTCGTTCAATTGACCTGATATAAAACAATGGATATGCCTTCAAAGAATGGCTTTAGAAAGATCTATAAAACCCTTAAATTCAATACAGTTGAAGAAATTACTTAAATTTAAAAGTAATAGAAAGCAATGCAATCGTTTTTTTGCGTATAGGTTTATATAATGAGATCTAAGACTTTCGCGAGTTTTATTCAATTGAAATGGACCCTTTTTTTGTATTATACTACGCGACTTTATTGTTGTAAAAAAACTACATACTCCGGAAATTTCGGCTACTTTTCAGCAACCGTGATCACGGGCAAACGAGATGTCAATGGACTAATTTTGTTGATCATTGTAGCTTAAATGAAGAAGAAGCTATTTAAAATTTTTGGCATGGTGCCTGATACATGTGGTTAATATACCTAGCGTAATTGTATATAAAAAAAATATATTAGTTATATCTTATTCTACTCTCAAATTAGAGACCTAATAAAGTTTGAATAAAAATTGAAACAAAAACACTGAACTATATTTTTGCGTAAATAAAAGTTAAGGCGCTAAATTATATTATTGAAACTATATTAACGGAAAGGTGTAGTTTATAATTTCCGTTATTTCGTTTATTATTGCTATTAAAATGCTATAATATTAATAAAAAAGTGAAATTTATTAATATAACGCTATAATATGTTACGAAATTCTCATGTCCAAGTATCGTCATTAAATTAATTGTTTTTGATATGTAGTTTTGTATGTGGGTCGATCGAGACAATTAAAGAGGTGGTTTACCTTGAACACTAAATTCCAGTCAAAGCCTCCTCGCAGGTCCGCCGAGGCCCCGATGTATTGGAAAGTGTCCATACTGATGACGTCTATGACTGGGCATACAACCCGGGTAGGGTCCTGGAATAATGAGAATTATTATTATCATATTATCTTTATATATATAATTCTTCTGTGAGTGTGTATGTCACTGAACTTCTCTCAAACCACTGGACCGATTTTGATGAAATTTTTTGTGTGTGGTCAAGGGGATCTGAAAATGGTTTAGATTCACAATTCTGTCCGCTGGACAATGTTTTTTTAATTAATTTTTAATTTATTAGTAGTTGTTGATACAAACTTAATTTTTTGACATTAGATTTGACAACTAACTAATAAGTCAATCATTCTGTCGCACTTCAAAACACGGAGATTTATGGCTTTAATAGGTAAACTCCAAAAATATAATTAAAAAAACAACAGATATTTCTTGATACGAAGTTCGCCGGGTCTTCTAGTATCTTATATATCTCCTTAAAAATAGGGCCAAATATTCCAGTCACACGGGTCAGTGACTAAGTGTTTCTGGGGTCAAAGTCAGTACTCTCAGCTTATTATCAGATTCTTAAAACTTACGTACTATAACTTACAACAGGTATTCAAAATAGCAACTTTTTGCATAGTGACGTATGTATGTGAGTGGTGGTAACTCAAGAATATTTAAATTTTTGAAGATTCCAGTAGTGGAAAGCACGATAGGAATAACATATAGTAATAATAATAATTATTATTATTTTATGTGAAAGGTGACAAACGAGCAGACTGCTTCATTTGGAGTAGTCACCGTCGCTCATGGAAATTCGCAACATAGAGATGTTAGATGCGTTATCAACCTTAGTTTTTGAGGAAAAGAGAGGTGTGGTAATAAGGAAATGGTAGGAAAGGTTGGGAATAGGGAGGGCAACCGGCTTTCACTCATCGGACGAAACGCAGCCATTAAAGACTACTTTACGCCGATCTTCTGTGAGAGGGTGGTACTTTCCCGGCCGAGCCAGCCCATGTTCGAGCTGTAGTTACTTCACCACAGCTAGACTCTACCACCTTAGCATTATGGAATAAATATAACATAGCAATAATGTATAGATACTCCGAATTTTGTTAACGAATTCTCATTAGTACAAAATACAGTGCGCGTTTCCATTCACGCTACATAAATCACAAAGATTCAAAGAGTAAGCTTTGAATTTATAATATCAATGTTTCTATTGAACATACAATCAGTTATGTATACTTTTTTTAACTGTCAACAGTTTTAAAACATAAATAATCCCTACAAATATTATAAATGCGAAAGTAACTCTGTCTATCTGTCTGTTACGCTTTCACGCCTAAACCACTGAACTGATTTTAATGAAATTTGGTACAGAGATAGAGTTGACCTTGAGAAAGAACAGGATAGTTTTTATCATAGACTTTTGAAAGGTTCTCTTAGAAACGTGATATAACCGAACTCCACGCGGACGAAGTTGCGGGCGGAAAGCTAGTTCTTTATAATTACGAATAAATGTTTGATAATCGACATAATTATAATTAGATTATTAAATATATATAAGTCGGTTTTCTAAAGCATATATAAAGTAAAATTAACAAAATGTAGTTGCTCTTGACCACATTTACATTTAATGTACTGTGATGAAATCTCATATGATGTGGATTCACAAAGAATAATATTAATTCTTTGCGTTTATAAAAATCATTAAAAATATAGTTATGGAAAGGAAAAAAGGTACGTTATATGATCAATCTTCAAGTTTCTTAATAAAAAGCAACATGCCGTCTTTCGTGTCAGTGTAATTAATTATTATTTTTTATTTTATTTTAATACTTTTTGTTTATTAAATATACAATATATAATTGCAATACAATAAAATGATGGAGTTAAATTTTAACGTCAATAATATAAAAAAATCGCACCGCCATTTTGTTTTTTAATTAATATGTATTAATGAAAAACAATACATATGTAGTTGTTATAAAAATAATAATCAAAATGCTTTAAACAATTAATAATAATGTTAAATTTAATGTGTTGTTAAATATAAACGACGTTGGACGAAACTAAATACAAAACAGGCAGTCTGGCCAAAGGAAATAAGTTTCCGATTTATTGATAACCTATTAATCAAAATGTCTGCTTACAAATAAATCATTTAGGAATATACCTATAAATAATAAAAGGTTTTATTTGGTTCCATTAAGTTAAAGATTTTATTTTAAAACAATAGCAAGTCAATGCGTCAGAACATTAATTCCTTGGCTTTAAATGTTGAAAACAAAACATGTTTTTTTGTGTTGACATTTATGACACTAGCTCGGCCGTCTAGGATAATGGTGTCCGGTTTTTCCAAATCGATTTTTTTCAATTCAAATATATTAATTTAATATTATTTACTAAGCTATAAATATTGTATGATAAAATCTCGTCTGTTAATTATTGCTTATAGCTTTATATAATGCTAGTAATTAATCATACAGGACTTAACAGTTTATAAATACGATGCATCGAAGAAAATGTTTAAGCAATAAATCTGCCATTTTTATTTTTTTCATATATTTTTGTACATAAATAATGTTTTTTCCTGTACTATATTTAATATTATTCATACGTCATATAATTTCACGATCTGTCAGAATGTATGGTTAAGGTTAAACGATGTTTTGTCACTATGTCAAGGCCGTCTGTCATGAATGTCAAGCGTCAAACCGGATTTGACAGTGACACCCGGAGATGAATCCAATCAAAATAATACTCTATTACTTTATAATAATGATCAATTTAGAATGTCCTAGCTGGTGTACATTAATTAATTTAGGTGGTCTATTGAAAGTGGTTCCATACTGTGTCTAATTGGTAGTTGTTCCATTTTAAGGGCATTGAATCATTCTATACACAGAGTAAAATAAACATAGAGTATTATATAATAAACATTGTATATTAAATTTCTGTATTTTCAAAGAGTTTACGACGAAAAAATCGAAAAATTGCTCATTCTTAGTTCATTATTTAGATTTTATACTGAGAAATTCGTGGTTTTATATAAATATATTTGGACATATATGAAACAGTATTACCAAAGCTACAATCTGACCTCGTACCACGTTAATCGTTACATCTAACATTCTCGAACGTACCTGAGACAATGCAACATGGTACGGGGTGAAGGGATACTGATCGGTTTACGCAACGCAACATCTTCCGTTCACTACGCCTGGCTGGGTTGCGCAACTTATAAGAGATAGCGATTTCATGTTATATATGGGATAATCAAAATCTAACCATTTGCAAGCCCCCTTCTAATTTCGTCGACGCTATCTACAAATCTACAAACTATTTAGCCTAATTATTTGCATTCGTTGGATATTGGTTTATTTTAATCATTTCAATTACGCAGAAATTTATCCGAATCTTTTGTTATGTAATAAGTAAAGTGTCATAGAAAATTCTATATAAATTTTTCCGCATTCTTACCATAATACACATTGGATTAACTAGCATAAACTTTAACATTTGTTTAAAAAAAACATGACAGCATTATAAAAGAATGTAAAACGAAAAAATTCGTTCACTCGACTATGTAGGACGTATTGGCGAATTCTAAAAAAGACAATCGCTTGCAGTACTTTCAAAAAGCCAATGATAATGTTATGTACATACTACATAGGAAATACTTGAAGCATTACAAGGCTTTATAGGTAACCTATGATACAATCTCTTTGAACTTGGACTATCACCAAGCAGGATACTCGCAACGCTTTCAAATAAATCGCTTTTGCAACACAATATTGCGACCCGTTACTTGTCAGTTAAGTAATTTTCCGATCATCTGTCATTTAGTTACAGTATAACATATATTGATATTTCAATATAATATTTATTGATCTGATAAGTTTTATTAATAAAGTCTTTTGTGGATATAATGTATTAACGATTGAATAAAAGACGTGGGCGTTATTGTCTCAAATGAATAATTATCTTGACAGAAAGAAAATTAAATCGAGAAGCAACGTCAGGGTCTATACTCTAAATTAAAAATATTATAAATATTAATATATATATATTCGAAAGCTATCATAATGTGTAACCAATAACCAGATAATATAAAACTTACCAAATAAATATTGATTACATCCGATTTATTAAGAAAGATTACTAACAATTCTTGTCATTTAATTTTATTCATTTATATTACAGTTCAAGACGTAACAAATTTGACTATTCAAATGTGATATTTCCATAATAATTTAACAAAGTATATTAAATAATAATTATTATATAAATAATATTCTAACAAAAGCTAATATCGAAATAAAAGAAAACGATTAAGAGAATATTAAAATTTATTTACGACAATTTTATTGTATTTAATTAAATGCCGTCATTATTGTGTATAGAACATTCTGGAAGGCGTATAAAGATTCCTAGGACGAAGTGAGCGTTTGTCCTTGACATTAGGATACGATTCACGTCTGGTCTGCTTACAAAAATATTTCATACATACACCTACCAACTATTCTAGATTGTTCTATTAAAACAACAACATAACTTTCGCGAGTATTCATTTAAATGAAATTAATATCGAATGTAGTATCCTTTTTTATTATAAACATCTCGTCTTAATAATTACGGTTGCTGTAACCGAAACGTCGCATTTAAAATATTAAAGAACGTGTAATATATAGAAAATATTAGTTTTATTTAAATGAATACTCGCGAAAGTTTTAGATATTATAATATTAGTAACGAGAAAGTGTTTTTTTTTTAAACCTTGACGTAAAAAGAAGTGTTATTAGTTCGTTATTAATTTTAGTTGTTTTTGATTATTCTTAGTTGCAACGGTTCTTTGTCCATATCTATCGAGTGTGCCCTACGAGTTGTCAAGCTGCCCAGCTATATTTTTATAATTGTATTTTTTTTTAAGTGAATGTAAATTCTTTTTTTCAAATAAAGTTCTTAAACCCGTATACTCGGTTTATATGAGTCAAGAACTGTAGACGTGTCTTTTCGACAGTTTTGGATCATATTTACCAGATAAACTACTTTTTTTATATTTATCAATTCTTATTATTTCCTATTTATGTAAAGATATATTTTTTCGTTATAGTCATTCATATAAAAATATCGAATCACTTCATTAAATACTATAAGATCTTACAAGCAATAAGATTTATTCTATATTTTATGTTGAAGTGTCGTAATGAAAGAAGCATTTAGAACATAAATTTAATTATTATTGTATTTAAATGTAACAAAATATATTTTAACTTTATAAATGTAACTTATTTGAATGTGACGATGCATGAATAAAATTATACCAAATATAGTTCCTTGAAGGACAATCGTCGTTTGTTGTATGTATGTCTTTGTGTTAGTGTAACAACCTCACTGACACACAGTCGTGAAGGTCAGCTGTTTGTAACAGACACAGAAATAAACTTTCATTGTGCTATTATTATTAACACAAGATTCATTATTATTAAATTTGATGTAATATGAAAGTAGTTTTATTATATTGACTTATTTTGGTTGCATAAAATTATATAAATACATATGTATTGCTTTTATCAACAAAGCATTCTTATTGACGAAGAGAAATTTAAGCGTTTATAATCAGTAAGAAAAATTAAATACTATTTGCATTTTCTTAGAAAATGAGTAAAATATCTGTTTTAAATTAATAATATTAAAAATATCTTAATGATTATTTCTACATATTATAGGTATACGAGAATACAAGAAAATTTTATAAACTGTTGCATTTTTCAGTACTTACTTACTTACAATTTTAATTCAAAAGAAAATATCTATTTTAAGTAAATTCAATTAAATATAATTATAATATTTATTTTATTAACTATACATATATTAAAGCGACAGCTTTTGCATAATTCGAGAGTATTTATACCGTGAATCTTGTGATGTAACCGGCGCCTTCCAAGACTATACTTTGCATATTGATATAATTAACGAGCTCGTAAAAATATACAGAGATAATGTTTGATTAAGAACTAGCTCTCCGCCCGCAGCTTCGGCCGCGTGGAGTTCGGTTATATCGCGTGTCCAATAGAACCTTTCAAAAGTTTACGATAAAAACTATCCTATGTTCTTTCCCAAGGTCAATTATATCTGTACCAAATTTAATTAAAATTAGTTTAGTGGTTTAGGCGTGAAAGCGTAATAGGCAGACAGAGTTACTTTCGCATTTATTATATTAGTAGGGATAAGCAAAAATATAACATAACTATTTTATATGCTATAAAAAATTACTCAAATTCGATTGACTCGAACCTGTGAATTGATTTTTAAGATCTCAGTAGCTTTATACACTAAGCTATTATGTCCATACTTTTAATAAATTTATTTTACAGAAAAGATTATTAATAACATTGAGAAAATAGTCAATATATGTATAAATCCAGATATACATTTTTCTATATATATGTATTTGTGTGTTCTTTATATTTTTATAGGTCAACAAACAAAAAGTTCATATATTAAAACTCGATGTATTGAATAAATTCACGCAGAGATGAATTTAAAAAACTTTGACTGCAGGCTTTGATTTTACAAGAATAGATGAATTGAACGAATATAGATTTCATATATGATAAAAATATTTTTATTTCCTTCAAATATTAACGTTATTTTTATTTAGGACATCCATTAAAATTATTATTAATTTCAAATGTTAGTTTAATAGTTCTACGAGTCCATAATTGCGCCAAGTTTTGAAATTACGTGTTGCATAATATAATTATTTCGCTGAGAAACAACCTTTCTATAATATTATCTGTAGTAACTTGGTGCTGGAAGTAAATCAATATAGTGATTGATGATGCATTGTTTAAAATTGTGAAATATTTCATTGGGTATTGTTTATAAAAATGGGAGAATATACACATTTATTTCTTTGTTCCTATTATTTATTGTCGGTTAACTTTTTAATACATTTTTTCGTGTTAAACAAAAGGTAGGAAGACTTTATCAAGTTACTAGCTTTCCGCCCGCAGCTTCGCCCGCGTGGAGTTCGGTTATATCGCGTTTCCAAGAGAACCTTTCAAAAGTCTGGGATAAAAACTATCCTATGTTCTTTCTCAAGGTAAACTCTATATCTGTATCAAATTTCATTAAAATCAGTTCAGTGGTTTAGGCGTGAAAGCGTTACAGACAGACAGACAGAGTTACTTTCGCATTTATAATATTAGTAGGTTTAATACTATTGATACTATTTTACATAAACTCGGAATTTAAATGTGGAACAAACATATTATTACTATTTTTTTTTATGAAAACCTTCACATATAGAAACTCTTTACACACATATAAGACCTCAAAACACCTTACCTCCTTAATCCTCTGTAGCAAAGGCTCCAGCCAATGTACATTGCACTCGACGTGTGAGTCTAGGAACGTCAATACTGGTGCTGTGGCCGCGTCTGCTCCTCTGACCCTCGACCTCATGAGACCCTCGCGTCTTGTATTACGTATCACATGGACCTTGTGTATAGCACGTAATGCTGCACCATCTTCGGCTATTGACAAGAAATTTACGAGCATATAGATTTTATTACGTAATTTTTTTTGGTCGTTTGTTTTGCTACATATATATGTCATAATGAGACGAAATCTCTTAGCATTCAATGGATTCACCGTGTGGGTGTCGGGTCCATCGTTGTAGTGAGAGAAGCTTCAACAGTGACTGGGACTTGCGACCCAAGTGTAGGTTTAAGGGACCTTATCTAAGGCCTCGGCCTCGAATTTTGCGGGCAGCGGAGCGGCAGCGGGAGCGGCAAGATCTTACGCGTATAATCAAATGGACCGACCCTCGAATACAGCGGTGCCCGCTGCCCGCTAGTTTGGAGAACAGTATGCGTTTCCGTGCCGCCGCCGCTGCCGCTCCGCTGCCCGCAAAATTCGAGGCCGAGGCCTAACGCGTTAAACGCTCACCTCCACTGTCCAAACTCCTCTCTCTATACCAAATTTGAAAAGAACCTACTAGGACTGCTTTCGAAGTACTTATCTGAGATTTTCTACGTATTTTTTAATGAAATCAGTCCTTCATATGCCTTTCGTGTTGTAAGTGAAATGGCCCGGTGTTTGTTCTTACAACCGTCAACAATGTATGTGAATAATGTTTTGCCTTCAAATAAACAAAATTGTGTTATCATTGTCTAGTTTCCAGCGTTTCTCATAAATGATTCACAATGACTGAGATTTCCCTTCAGATTTATGAGATAATTATAACGCGTGTGCATACAATTATCATTGTACTCACGTATATATATAGTTAGATAATAATATTAAAATGTTAATAATAAACTTGTGTTTGTATGGACTGTTCTAGGAAATATGGACACTTTTAGAATATATCCTCGCTGGTAAATATACGCCAAGTTGTTTTAAAATATTTGCGAAGAGCAATTTCTTTTTTTGTCAAGAACAATTTAAGCGTAAAAATGCTAACTTCCAAGCATCATTTTATGTTTTTATGTAACCATTTTTTGTTTATTTTTCAACAAAATGAAATATATTCACTATTCGTATATTGCGTGAAGTAAAACGCATCATATTATTATGTACTGAAAATTATTACTACCTAGGTATATTATTATTAAAATTACTTACGATTATCACTAAAGTCATCGACTAAAATGATTTCTTTTATAAGATGCTCTGGACTCCTGTTCAGTACACTGAAAGAAAACAAGTTTTATTATCTGTTGCAAGAACTGTCAATGTCATTGTAGTGTCAGATTATACGAGCCAACTGTCAAAGACAATACTCGGAAATATTATTGATTCCAAGTATCGAGACTCATTCAGATCAGATGTTTAAAACAGTAAGGTTCAAGTGATATTAAATCTGAGTCATATTGTATATGAAAATAATGTTCTTTTTTATAATAATTAAAAACAAATATTTGTATATTTTCAATTCATTGGAGTTTAATAAAAGAACTGAATAAAATATATATAATGAATTAATTAAAGCAAGCATTTATTTCTTTACCAATTAAGTTTCAAGCCCTGACTAAAATTGATAAATTGATCATTTAATCATTATTTAGGACACATTTTATTAAATTTTCCTTTATTCTAGATATTATTTTAAAAACCATTAAGTAATAAAGAATACGTGGAAAGTATATTGACTGTAAACAAGCCATTTCATTTCATTAAACACGTCTTACCTCACGATAGTTCTGAGTAGTGTGGATCGAGCTTCATTGTGGAATGTTATGATGACACTTGTCTGCGGTAGATCCTCATCATACTTTTTCAAGCGGCACCTTTAAATTAAATATATTAATGATATCCAAAACTTTCGCGTATTCATTTAAATGAAACTAATATCTTATGCCCGTGATCACGGTAACAAAGTAACCGTACGTCGGGAGTATGTAGATAAAATAATAAAAACGCATAGTAATCCGAAAGTAATAAATATTAGTTTCATTTAATTATGTTTTCTTAAGGATTCTATCCACTAAAAGCTATGTTAGTATGATCGTAATAGGACTTTGTCAGGAGTAATAATTGTATGGTAAAATATAAGACTATACCCAGTAGATTATTATTAATCACAGATCAGTATATAGTATAGTAGAGCATATAGTGTACGCCGGTCCTTATACGTTCCTAGTACTGTCATAGTATGATACGATGTATGACTTGACTTCTGAATAGTTAAAAAACTATGATATTCATGTTCAGAAAAACAAAAAAGTTTTTTTTTTACTTTTAATTTAGTATTTTTGGAAAGTATATTTAGTACAGGCAATACATGTTATAGATATTTAAATCTTCGACTCAAAAGGACTCGTATTAACGCCACAAAAATATTTACAAAAAAAAAGTTGAAATCTTTTTACATTATCACATGAAAATATTGTTTATTAATAAAAATATGTAAAAGAAATATAATATATGTATAACCTTGAAAACAATATTTCCCATATAAGGTGATAATAATCTTTATACAGTATATAATCATTTAAAGCCGGTATAACTTGTTCATCCGTCATTATCCTTAGTCCACGTTCATAACGTCACACTACGCGTTGACAGTTTTTCATTAATAAACTAGAAGACCTGGCGAACTTCGTATCGCCCTATAATCAAGAAATATCTAATACATTTTTTTATTTATATTTTTGGAGTTTACCTGTAAGCCATAAATCTCCGTGTTTTGAAGTGCGACAGAATGATTGACATATTTGTTAGTTGTTTAATTTAATGTAAAAAAACCGTTTGTATGAGATATAGAAAAAGGCGGTTTTTAGGGTTTTCCCGGAAATGAATCAATTTTTTCAGCTTTTAAACCTTCCCTGAACCTCTACGAATATTTCAAGACTAGGATAAGATAAATCCGTTCAGCCGTACTCGAGTTTTAGTGAGACTAAGGAACAGCAATCCATTTTTATATATATAGAAGATAGATTCGCACATAATAATAAAGTAGATAGTATTATTGAGTAACGTGAAACGCTTCGTATGTAGTTTGACGATGATAACTCGGACTAAGAGAATATATAAAAGTCAATATTGAAGCGTTAATTAATGACCTCACGATGTTGAGACATATAACATTGAAAGAAAAATGCAATTAATAATATAAATAATTTCATAAAGCATTCTAAGATAAATATTAATATAATTAAAGAAATATATTTGATATTGGAATTAAAAATCAATGAATTTAAATACATACGTGATACAAACACAGTGCTTAGAGTAATATTTTAAGAATTCAAAGATAATATAGTCTCCAGAGTTGTCTCTTTATAAGAATTTCGGTAAAAGAAATATATAGTTCTATATGTAATATAGAAAACTTAGTTTTATTAAGATAATGTCTTTAAAAATAGACATCGACATGCAAAAGAAATTTAAATAATTTTAACCGCATACGTATTACTGAAATAATCTTCTAATAATTCTCTATAAACAAAAACGGTTAAGTACCTACATCTTAAATTACAAAAAAATAATGAGATCTCAGACTTTCGCGAGTTTTATTCATTTAAATGAAACTAATATTTTTCGGATATACTGCGCGGTTTATTTTTGTAAAAATCTACATACTCCCGACGTTTCGGCTACTATTAAGCAATCGTGATCACGGTTATATATCCTAAAAATATTAGTTTCATTTAAATAACAAAAAATATCATTGATTATCCCTACTAATATTATAAATGCGAAAGTAACTCTATCTGTCTGTCTCTCTGTTTGTCTGTCTGTCTGTTACGCTTTCACGCCTAAACCACTGAACTGACTATAATCAAATTTGGTAGAGCTATAGAGTTGACCTTGAGAAAGAACATAGGATAGTTTTTATCCCAGATTTTTGAAAGGTTCTCTTGGAAACGCGATATAACGGAATTCCACGCGGTCGGAAAGCTAGTATCAAATAAAGTTATTGAATGATTGTTCTCACATAGAGTTCCTAGTGTCTGGTATGGGTCGGTTGCTCGGTAGGCTATCAGAAGCTGCTTGGTTGAATCTGTTCCTGATGTACGGGTCATTGTCCCTGACCCCGCCAGTCACGTAGCCAGTCTCGTCGAAGTATCTGCCAGTGCTGCCAGTGAATTCTTCGGGTGATGCCGGACTGCTTTCTGGTTCGTCCATATGCTGCTTTATCAGTCGTAGTGCTACGTTCTCCTCCTGATAATGAATACAGTTTATTTATAATATATGTTTTATGAGTGTAAACATAGTTAGTACGTAGCTATAATGATGTGTGTTTGGCAATACATAAATAGATTCAAAAGGACTCGTAAAAATATTTAAAAATATGTATATAAATTAAATGTTGACAAAGACAAAGAAATTATATTAAAGATTATACCAATCGGAACGTCAGGTTAAAACAGTAAATATAATATAATTAAGGGTGTTTTATTTACACTATTTCTTAATTATACTAGTTCTTCTTCTTCCTGACAACCTCCCAGCTTTAGCCAGGGTCTGCCTTACTTTATTAATACTGGTTATTGGAGTTAAATATAAAATATACCTATATATCATTATATAATCATTTTACAATTACAAACAGGTGTTGGATATATGTTCCTGAACCAATTTAGATTCTGAATGACTATTTATAATTAGAATAGATTAAGAAAGCTAGAGACAGATTTCTTTTATTTTGTTTTTTTTTTCAAATAAAAATTTCGCCATAATACAAGTTTAAGATAATATCTGGAAAGATAAAAAAGAAATGGTAATATTGTTTAAAAATATATAAGAATACGTAAGTCTTTATTGTAAGCGAAAAAGGTATGTGACAACTTTCACATACAAGAGCTCCTAAGGGATATTTCGAGATTACATTTGATGTTCATCCGACTATATACAATTTCCACAGTTTCCACTATAAATAAATCTTATTCTAGAATTGTATTCTGGTTTCAAAATTTACCTCGAATTAAGAATATTATAATATACTAGCTACTACTAGCTGACCCGGCAGACTTCGTACTGCCTCAAACGATAAATAAATATTTTTTTATTTATATTTTTGAAGTTTACCTATAAGCCATAAATCTCCGTGTTCTGAAATGCTACAGAATGATTGACATATTAGTTAGTTGTCAAATCTAATGTCAAAGAAAACCTTTGTATTGAAAATAGAAAAGGGCTATCTTTAGGGTTTTCCCGGAAACGAATAATTTTTTTTCACCTTTTAAATCTTCCCTGAAACTCCACGAACATTTCAAGACTAAAATAAGATAAATTCGTTCAGCCGTTATCGAGTTTTAGTGAAACTAACGAACAGCAATTCATTTTTATATATACAGGGTGACTGGTGAAATACTATCGATATTTGAGGACGTGATATTTGACGATCATATATGACAAAATAAAAATTAATATAACATAAATATTAATAAACTTCTAAGTAAACACCCTACTGATTAGGTATACACACACACACACACATACGCGGCGGGGGCGTGGGGTTGTATCAGCACGCCGCCGCACGCGTCCACACTTGGAACACTTGGAACGTGTCCTCACTTTATTTATTTATACGGAAATTTTGTCAAAAATTAAGTACCTATTTTTTTTACATAATTCGAATGTGAATCATGTACCGAGTATTCTCCTTAAATATTGATAGTAATTCACCAGTCACTAAGTTACTTCATGTAACATATTCATATTAGTACATTTGTTTTCGTATTTTTTAAACTTTAATGCAATTTTTGTTTGATTAAAATGAATCAACTGTATAATTTTATTATTGAAACTCGTAAAAAATGGTTTTTAATAAAAAAAAGGGTTGTTATACCGTAAAAACTACGTCATGTTTTGAGTTAAACAACCTAACCGGTATATAAAGTTTGTTTAAAAGTCAAAATTAAATATTATACTAGTGATATGAATACAAGAATCATCTTAAGTGTACAAGTAGATCCAAATAAACTCAAAATTAATGGATTTCTAACCTTGAAATATGACACTTATAAAAATAATTTAACCTATTAGATAGAATAGATAGAGATAGAACCTATTAGATAAAATAACCAGTTTTGTATCTATATAATAATTTATTAATATTCCAATCAAATGATTTCTTTTGATTTTAAATTCTGTTCAAACAACATATTTATGGAAGGTTTGGCTCATTTCTTGATTGACGTCATCAATTTTTTTTGTAAAGAATTCATTAAAAAAAATTATATTAAATTCCATGTTTTTTATTACCTATAAAAACACCACTTTGAAAAACGATTTTTTATTTGAAATACGTTTTCTCAATTTGTAATAAATTCTATAATATATGTATATACATACTCTTATAATATTGTTATATGATTTTCACACGAAAAATAACGAGTGAATTTGGTAATATTTATTACCCTTTATATAAATATTTAACTCAGTGTGACAAATACACCATACTAGGTGAATCAGTAAAACCTTTATTTTTACGCTTAGTACCTAATACTTTTTAATATTCTATTAAAATAAACTAAATAAAATCATAAAAAATACATCAAAATAGATGCATTTAAAGTTTCAAATACAATCAATTTAAGATAATTATAAGTAATAATGGATAAGACATATTATACATGTGTATTAATATTATTGAATTTGACAAGTTGAACCAGTTTCTTTTGTCATAATAAAGTTATATCATTATATGTTCAGACACTCATACAGTGAAAGTTATTCTCATACCAGAACGCCTAATGAGTTTATGAACAAAAGTTAGACAATGTTACAAGTTGTTTCTCTAAAAAAAAAGTTAGTTATGTAATAAAACGATAATAAAGAAGCGTTTCAATATATAATATTATATATTAAAATTAAATTAAAACTATTAATGTAAAGAAAGGTCGAATTCAATGTGCGGAACATCCTTAACAAAAGTTAGCGTAGTCAAAATAAATACATGCATTTTGCAGTTTAAATCTTAATCTTTACACTTGAAGGTACTCATGAGAGTATATATGAAAACTGGAACATTTTTATTTAGGTAGAAATAGTGCAAAACTTGTAGTAAAGTTGCGGTATTCTTAACATTAGTCTAAGTTTTCATTCACGCAACATACGTAAAGTTTAACGCTCTTTAAACCTATACCTGGGTCGTAAGTCCCAGTCACTGTTGAAGCTCCTCTCCCTGCAATGATAGACCCGCACCAATACGGTGAATACATGGAATCCTGAGAGGTTTCGTCTCATAGCATTTCACTCCTAAATCATATATTATAGTATTAACGTAGTTTATGGAATGAGAAACGGCAAAAGGTTTATATGTAGTGTGATTTGTAAACTTTTGTTTAGCATATACATAGTAGATTCAATTATAAGGATAAAATGATTACGTGGCTTTGTCATCCGATAAAATTCAATATAATTCATAGATTTTGTAATAATAAACTATATATGTATTGTAATAATGATTTTATATAACAATGGACGTTATTATAAACGTGAAGGCTACACCTATTATACAACATTTATATTACATAGTGTATAATTTATACACACTGTACCTATACTATACAATTGACTTAAAAACCAAGGTTCATGATACAGTGTAGATTATACTCGTAGTATTACGTATAAACGCGAAAATGATGGTATAAACGTACCTATTTGATTTAAATATTTTCTATTTATCTTCTCTTGCAGGGTCTGCCTTACATGTTGTGAATAGTTTTGGCTATTTGTATTTACGACCGACCGCCTGCCTGACATCAACCGTCTTTGGGAATGCATTAATCAGTGATGTCTAAATATTCTTAGAAAGTACATATGACTCGGAAAAATCACATTGGTACTTGCCAGGGCCAGGATCGAACCCGCGCCCTCGTGCATGAGAGGCGGGCCTTTTAACCACTAGGCCACCACTGACTTAAATATTTTCTATTTATAAGACTTATGAATGATTAATTATTTTATACAGAAGATATATGTATAGTTTAGTATGTTATTGTACTTATAAACTCGTAATTAAGTATTTTTTTGTATAGTATACATAGGTAGTAGTTAAACAGATGTATTGTCAATACTTTCTATGAACCTTAATATGACAGTGATTATAGGAAGTGATGAAAAAACTGGCAGCGTGACGGACGTACGATTATATTTACACCTTACTATTGGTGTTTAACTATACTTCACAACTAAAGTTTTTTCTTATTAAACAAATTATTTGCGTACAAATATTTATCTACGACTAGTTTTTGCCCGCGACTTCGTCCGCGTTAGTTTGGTCAAGAGTAATATATGTAGGTATAGCTGACCAGGCGAACTCTATTCCGTCTTAGAGGCCATAAATAATCAGGTTTTTCCTGTTTCAATCAAACAGAATGATTGACATATTAGTTAGTTGTCAAATCTAATGTCAAAAAAAAAACATTGTATGGGAAGTAGAAAATGGCTGTTTTTAGGGTTTTTCCGGCAATTATTCCAACTTTCCCTGGACTTCCAGGAGTATTTCAAGACTAAAATTAACCAAATCGGTTCAGCCGTTCTCGAGTTTTAGCGAGACTAAGGAACAGCAATCCATTTTTATATATATAGAAGATTAACCCCATTTTCTTTACTATTTGAAGTCAGTGGTGACCTAGTGGTTAAAAGGCCCGCCTGTCATGTACGAGAGCGCGGGTTCGATCCTGGCCCTGGCAAGTACTAATGTGATTTTTCCGAGTTATATGTACTTTCTAAGAGTATTTAAACATCACTGATTAATTCATTCCCAAAGACGGTTGATGTCAGGCAGGCGGCCGGTCGTAAAAAACAAATAGCCAGAACTATTCACAACATGTAAGGCAGACCCTGGCTAAAAGCTGGAAAATTGACAGGTAGAAGAAGAAGATTTCTCTACGATTAACGTTAGTTTGCTTCGTCACACTTCTCACAAAGCGTTTATCGTTTCTTATACACAATGTTCGGAAATTTATTGAAGTAAGTTTTGTTGAAGTTTATTAGTGAATATAACATTTGTACTGTCAGTATTTAGGTAAACGATGTACTCGTAATAAGGGTAGTATGTAGTTGTGTTAACGGTAACGAGATTACTAGTTAAAAATTATTGCTGACTATTGGATATTAATTGACTGTACTTTTATTTTTTAACCAGCGTGTAACCTCGTTAATGGGACGTCTAATTATGGTTCATGATTTAACTTAATATGGTTTAACAA